AGTGCAATGCAGAACCAATGGAGGGTTTTAACCAGGAGAGTGATACGCTCTGATTTATGGTTTTTTTTTTAATTTTTTAATATTTATTTATTTTTGAGAGAGAGAGAGATAGAGCATGAACCAGGGAGGGGCAGAGAGAGAGAGAGAGAGAGGGAGACACAGAATCCAAAGCATGCTCCAAGCTCTGAGCTGTCCGCACAGAGCCAGATGTGGGGCTCAAACTCACAAGCTCTCCAAGATCATGACCTGAGCTGAAGTCACACACTTGACTGAGCCACCCAGGTGCCCCTGATTTATGTTTTTCAAAGATTTTTTGGTGGCTGGATGAAGAATGAATGGCGAGTGGGAGGTAACAGATGAAGCCAGGAGGCCAGTCAGGAGGCTGTTGTCTTAGTGAAGGATGGTGGTATATTGGACTAGAATAGTAGCAATAGAGCTAGAAACAAGTAGATGGATTGGGGAAGTATTTTTAGGGAGAATCGATAAAATCTGTGGATGGATGGGACAGTGGGGCAGTAGAGGCTGGAGAAAGAGAATCTGAGGGTGTTTCATGAGTTTCTGGCTTGAGCAACTGGGTGAATGGTGTCATTTAGTGACATAAAAGACTTGGCAATGAGATTGTTTGAAGGAGGGTATTGAGATTTCTGTTTTAGACATATTAAGTTGGAATTACTTCTGAAAAGATAATCAAGTATATAAGTTAGAGTCTGGAGTCTAGAGGAGAGATGAGGAGTAGACATATAAGTTTTGGAGTCACTAATATATAGACAGTCTTAAACCCATAAAATAATGAGATTCTTCATGGGTAGGTTAGACATGGGGCAGAAGAGAAGTCTCTGGACCAGATTCTAGAACAGCGAATGTTTAGAAAAGAAGAAAATCTGACAAAGGAGACTGAATCCGGGGTGGGGGGGGCACACCTGAAGAGTAGGGATCATGAAAGCCGAGCCAGAAAGTGTTTCCCAAAGGAGGAGGTGGTGAACTGTGTTCAATGATGCTGAAAGGTATGGCAAGATGAAGACACGGATGTGACAATGTGATTGGACAACTTGGGAACAGTGTTAACTTGGCAAGACCAGTTTCAGTGAGGTAGAAAGGACTGAGGTTTGATTGGAATAGGTGGAGATGAGACGGGATGATAATTTTAGTGTGAAGGTCAGCTGAGACATGGAGTGGCTATTACTAGATGGGAAGAAAGAGCCAAGAGATTTTTTTTAATTGTTTTTATTTTTTTTAGGAGATAGATGATAGTCAAGCATGTCAGCAGGCCAGTGGAAATGATCCAGAAGAAAGGGAGATCTAGATGACAGAGGAAAAAGGGGATCACTGCACAAGCCAAGACTCTGGAAAGGTGGGTGGAGACAGAATCCAGAGCAAAAGTGGAGGGACCAGCCTCTGGTAGACACAGAGGATACAGGTTCAGATGCAAGGGAACTGGAAAATGTGATGGTGAGGAATGGGGAAATTGTCTTCTGATTACTTCTATTTTCTCAGTGAATTAGAGGCAAGGTCATCAGGGGAACAGGGATTATAGGAGGTTTGGGGACAAAGAAGAAGGTGTGAAATAGTCATTTTGGAAAGTGAGAAACTGACTATACCATAGGTTGGTCGTAAGGTTACTAGGTAATATTGCATTCCACATCTGTGTGCTTTTCACTGGTAAAGTGAAGTTGAGAAATAAGTGGTAGGTGGGTTTCACTTGATAGGGACTTGGACTGCTCAGTAGTCTGGATGAGAAGGGAGTGGGAGAGTAAGATGTGAGTAAAGTACAAAGAGAAGAGCTGGGGCTCCTCTTGATCTGAAGGGAGAGACAGACACAGACATAGCTGTAGAACAACATGCGAATGCTTGAGTAGAGAAACATTTACCAATTATTAAGGGAGTACAGAGGAGGGAGCCTAAACCTCTCTACCTCTGGAGTCTAGGCAGCCTTCACAGAGTTGTCTTTTTAAAGAAGTTTTTATTTATTTATTTATTTATTTATTTATTTATTTATTTAGAGAGACAGGGAGAGAGGCAGAGAGGCAGAGAGAGAATCCCCAGCAGGCTCTGCACGACAAGCACGGAGGCTGATGTGGGGCTTGAACTCACAAACCGTGAGATCATGACCTGAGCCAAAATCAAGAGTCGGATGCTTAACCGACTGAGCCACCCAGGCACACCGAGTTGTCTTTTGAACTTGATCTTGAAGAATAAGCAGGTAAAGGGTCAAGAAAACAACTCTGTAGACAAAGGGAAGGGTCTGTGCAAAGGCATGAGGATGTTTGGGGAATGGCAAGAATCTTGGTGTGCTGGGACATAAGACATCTGGAAAGGAATGGCAGGTGACAAAGCTGAAAGGTTACTGGGACAAGATAATAAACAGTCTTACATGTCCTAAGTTGTTTAGAATTTGTTTTGCAATAGGACCCACCAAAACTGAATAGATGACTGACATGATTAAATGTGTGCTTTGGGAAGGCGCATGGTAACACTGAGTAAAAAACTAAAAGAGAGAGAAAAAAAAGACAACTGGGATACCCTGAAGAGAGATTGCAAGAGCTTAAAAATGTTGAGTGGTAGTGATAAAGACAGAAAGAGGCATTTGTGTTGTCCCATCAACAGTGTGAAGTGACTGGATAGGGCAGATAGAGGAGAGGGAGACGTTCAGGACGACCCTGACATTCTATCGTGGGCAACTAGTTGACCATGGTGCCGTGAATATTAGGAGTAACAAATTTGGGAGACAGTGAGTTTGGTGTTAAAACATGCAGGCAGAGACATCTCTGACATGGAGCTCTGAGGTAGGAGCTCTCTCACGACTAAGCATGTGAGTAGTGGGCGTGACGACAGATGAGCCTGTCAGGGAGAACAGGTACAGTGAGAATAGAAGAATGGGTAGGGTGGAACTGGGGACCCCGAGGGGTGGGGCTGTTGAAGAAGGAGTGGGGTGGGATCAATAAAACACAACCATCCAGGGAGAGGACCACAAGCAGTGTGTGCTGCAACAACTGGGGGATCCGGCAACTTGCCAAAGAGTAGGTTAGAGATAAAAACACGGTTGAGTGTTAAAATCCTAAAGAGTCACTGAACCACATATTAGATGCTATAGAAAATTAAATGAGAGAATTTGAAGATAGAGTCCAAGGAAATTCTAAGAACTCAGAAGAAAGGATAATCAGATGAAAATATTAGGGGCAAAGTAGGATCATATCCCAAAGAGCCTGTGTGTGTGTGTGT